GCATTGTGCACAGTAGAGCCTCATTCTTTCTGTGGATTGTCATAAGCTATCCATAATAACGAATGTGGGCAATTGGATTGGTGTTCCTGTCATAAAGCTTAAAGTTGGGAACCGTAAATTTGCTCGGGACTTGTTCCCCCATCCATCTACTAAAGGGGGNATCTCGTGAAGTCATGTGCATCCTATGATAGTGTTATATGCTGAGTCAGCTTCCATGACAAGAAATTCAGTCATTTTCATGACCAGTCCTGCTTGGACTGGGAAGGTTATCTTCCCTTTTGGCAAAACTATCTTTTTAGTGAACCTATTTAGTATGGTATTGGCTAGCTTCAAATCTCCTTCAAGCCTAGTTTTTGAAACAAGTCGGAGTACATGATTTTCGAGGAACTACCTTGGTCTATCAAAGATTCTTTTTGATGTAGAAGTTGGCTATCCTTAATGTCAATACCAGGGCATCTCTATGTGGGTGATGAATCCCCGATTAAATCTTTCTCAAAGAAGCATATTGATCCATTCATCTGCTCGATCTTTTGCCTTTTCATAACGTGTTCAGCTACTAATTTGACCTGTCAAATTTCTTTGATTTGCAAAATTTTTTGAATGTAAGCTCTGGCTTCCTTGTTTGTTGCATGGATGACGTCAATTACACCTATTGGATTTTGTTCCGAACCCATCGCATTTCTTTCACCAACCGCATCGGCCTTCATCTTTTCTTGATCTACGAATTGGAAGAGATGTCCTGCTCAAACGGCCTTCATCTTTTCTAGATACTACTTAAGGGAGCGCCAGTTCTCCGTCATATGTTCAATGTCGTGATGGTAGGAACACCTAAAATTTGGGTTTCTTTTCTCAGGATCCCCTCCTAATTTGATTGGTCATTTGAAGAAAGGTTTCCCCTTTATTTGTGGGATAGTATTTTGTAGATGAGCTCTTTGAAGATCATGTTTACACCGGCAAATAATGATCTTGATGGAAAACCTTCATTCTACTTTCCCTTCATTCCTATTCTTGATTGACTGATCAATATTTCTTTGCCATTTTGCTTCTTCGTTGGTTGTACGTCTCGGCTCAAGTCTCTATCAAGCTCATCATCCACCTTTGCGTATTTCTCAACTCTTGTCATTAGCTCCTCCATATCCTTTGTCAGTGATTAATACAACGGATTTTCTTTTGGTAACCCAATCTTGAATGATGCAACCACAATTTATGGATTGTAGCTTTCTATCTCATTCCTTATCTCTAATGACCTTTCGTTGGCGACTGCTTGCTACAAACCAAGTTGTAAATTTTTTGACAAGCTGTATCCAACTACCAATAAAATTTTGAGTAAGGCTGTCGAACCACTTCATGACTAATTCTCCCAAGTTGCTCAGGAGCATTGTGCACAGTAGAGCCTCATTCTTTCTGTGGATTGTCATAAGCTATCCATAATAACGAATGTGGGCAATTGGATTGGTGTTCCTGTCATAAAGCTTAAAGTTGGGAACCGTAAATTTGCTCGGGACTTGTTCCCCCATCCATCTACTAAAGGGGGACACTTCCATTCCCTAATGTATTCTCTAGTTGCCCTTCTTGCGAGCTCTCTAACAGACTTTTGTTTGGGTCATTTTAGTCTGCTATCAAGCTCTTTCGTTATGTATTTCTTCCAAGCATCCTCTTGCTCTTCAACCTGAGAAGATTTCTTTTTGTCGTTTCTGTCTCGGGGGTAATATCTCCCTAGCTACATACTGTTAGGATCTTCACGATTCCCATCCAAACTACCAGCAACGTACTACTAAATGTCATTATCGGAGGGGAATGATACTTGATAGTTTCAAGCAAGGTCATACTCATGAGTGTTCTAATTGTTGCGTGGTGATCTAATTAGACTTTGCAAGTTTGACATGATCAATTTTTTGTTTAGTTTCCCACATATGGCGCCAGTTGCAAGAGGCAAAAATCTCTTACCTTCATAGTTTGTTTTGATTTGGTGTGGGGAAGGTGAACAATGACCAAATTGTTTGTCTAACAAAATGAGCAAACTGTCAAAGACCGGGGGTAGGTTGGTCGAAGGCACTACAATGCCTAAGTCAGTAATGGTTCTAAAAGAGAGCAAAGAAATTTGTAAAGATTCTAGTGTGTACCTTTGATTTAGGCATAACCTTGTTTTTATATTGTTGTATGGAAAGGTCTATTCCACAATTTTAGCTTTTGGACATATTAGATGGCACACCTAATGTTTAGCCAAATCCTTTTTGGAGACTAGGATCTCTCCTAAACTTCTTCTCCATTTTGCCTGCTTTATAAGGATGTGATGAACATTCTCCTGTGATTAGGGCAACATTCTTGTCAATTTAGCCTTGTCTTGCTCCCTTGCTTGTCGTAGGATCTCCATAGAAAGCTATTTGTGTGTTGTGCTTGAATTGACTATTTTGCAAGCTCGGCCCATTGGGCTGAGCACTGGTCATCTGCTCGGCTTGGTTGACATTGTGTTTCCCTCGTGTTTCTCGTATGTGCTTTTGGTCACGTGTTTCAGGGCACATGATCTCATTAACTGTTTTAATTCATGTTCAGTCGTTTTATGCCACTTCAACATCCAATAAGTATAAATTAGTTGAGAATCGACAGTATGGAACAATCAAAGAAACATAAACCTTAAAAACAAATATATATATATATATATATATATATATAAATCCTAAGCATTAGGATTTGGGCGAGCCATTGGAGAAGATCAAGTTCAAAATCATGGTGGCAGATGAGATCAAGCCTTAGTTTGCATGAGTTTGAACCATTCAATGTCCTCCCTTTTATGAAATTATTCCCCAAAAGATCTGAACTAGGCCGTTCAATCATACAATTTGGAGCAACCATCTTGAAATTTGGACAATGCCAATGAAAAGTAAAATTATTTGGGGCCGTTGCGGTGGTAGTGAACAATCTTGAGCAACACAGTCCCCCACCCCTCAAAAACAAAAAAAAAACAAAAAAAAAAGGAATAAAATAACGCAAAATTTCATCAAGTAATCTTTCACTATATATAAGCTGCTATGTTATAAGTCAACAAAGCTTTGTATGATTTTCAGAAAGAAATGATCAATTTAATTTTCCATTAAAAGAAGAGATAATCTCATTTTTCATTAACCTAATGTGCATCAGAGCTCTGCGACATAGAAAATGAAAAGAAGTCATCCAACTAAAGTTTTTTTTCCCTGGTAAGTCAGTCATCCACCTAAGTTAGCATTGTCTTTATTATTACTTCTGCATGTTGGAAGCTTTTTAACATCCTGATGCTGCAATAATTTTAATCACCTTTTTAGAGCATCAACAATCATACCCTCTATTTTAGAGAATTTTTTTTTTTTAAATGAAGAATATATTTGATAAAATTTTGAAAATAGAGAGTGAAATATTTTAGACAACTCCAATAGGCTCTCTACTCTAGTGGAAAAATAGTCGTATAGTCAATAACATTTAATGAAGAATGTATATGCATCATTTTTTTATTTAGTGAAAATTGGAGATGAGTCTTATTTATGGGACTTTTAATGAGTTAAGTCTGTCAAGCCTTGACTAGTACAAGCGGAGTTACTGAACAAGCGATTAAAGACTGATGTTCGGGAAGGGAAGAAGTCTTTCAAGGACCCAACTTCGGGGATGAGAAAGAATAGAATCAATGGAATGATGAAAGTGTCAAACATCTCTATTTTCAGTGCAGCTATGCCGGGTGGATTTGAGCTTAGCTCTATTCTAAATTTGGATATGATCAACATGTAACTAACCTTCATGATGTTTGCAGATGGATTAATAAAATCAAAACTAAGAATTTGGCTTTTACTATCCTGATCCTAAAGCTCTCCATTACATTAGTCATATATTATGTTTGGCATGAGATAAATTCTAGGGAATCAAAGCAGTAAGCAGAACATTGTTTTGGAAAATTTTAAAGAAAGTGAAATTAAGACTGCATTCCAGATGAAACTGAGAGTTATTTACTCTTTTTTTTTTTCCACTCAATTTTGGAGAGTGCATGGTCACCCTGCTCAACCATCTATGGCTGAATGTTACTCTTCTTCGAACCCTCCGAAAAGAAAAGTGAACACAGACAACAATAGCAATTGAAGCTATAAAAAAACCGTAACAAAGAACATTATGAACAAAATTTATTTTGAATGTTACTATTTTTTGTGTGTGTATGGGTGAGAGAGATAGATAAAATAGTCATAATTTATATATAGATATAGATAAATATTATAGATAAACAATTTTAATGCTAATATAATTCTCAGTGTAAGAGTTGTTAGTTTTTCCAAACAAGTTTTAATTAAATATAACTATTGAGAATATTTTGAACAATAGCGATCAAAACAAACTTATTCCCAAACAAGCTTTTGGAGTAGACTTAAGTCCAAATAAGTCAACAAAAGGAGACCGATCCCCAAATTTCTCTTTTATTTATTAAAAATAAAATAGAGACCGAATTAGGCTTTTCAAATGTAGAAAGCCAAATAAGGCTCTCTATTTTAGCTTGTCTAAATAGAGTCCGTTAGAGCTTGATTTTTTATGATTAGCTCTCTAAGATAAAGAGTTAACTAGGAATAGAGAGTCTATCGGAGATACACTTAACATGATAAATTTTCTAAAATAAGGTCATTTCTTATTCCTCTCTCATTATTCCACCTTGATTATTTTGAAGCATGTCGTGTCTGCTTTATATCACAATTGGGCAACGGTGTAATATATTCACAGTTCAACACATATTCCAAATCTAAAAGGTTATTTATGTTATATACAGCAGCAAGATGTTTTCTGACACCAACAGGCAACTACCTTCTTCTCTTTCCCATAAACCACCACAGAATCACATATATCTGCACTGGATAACCAAGGAACAAAATATTTTAACACTTGAAGAGCAAGATAGGTTTTTCCTAGTTCAACTAATATGAGAGATTCCTACAACAACTTAAGAAAACAATCATAAACATATTCCATAGAGAAGTGATCGCTCCAGAATACTTTCTATCATAAAAGCAAGTCTCAAGTGATGCCAGCAAAGATGTTCAGTTAATGGGGATACATGGCTTTCATTTCTCTCGAATTCAAATATGGGCTATGTACAAAAAACCTTCTTAGATCCCAATTTGCACATGAATTGACATCCTAACAAAAGTGACAAAAAAGAATCAACAAGGACATTAACAATTCAGTTCATGCAGCCCCGATTGCAGAAAATCTTGGGGCTCTATTAGACGTAACATATAACCTGGTCATTGAAGGGGCAAAAGGCAAAGCTGCCCTAGTTCATCCAATATTGAAGTTGCCTACTTATTGATCTGCAGTAACAACTATAACATCCAACAGAAAAGATTCAATGATCACAATAGGGAAGCAACCAAACCTAGCGCCATGAAGTCAGATGCCTATGGCCAAGCTGGAAAGAATCCCATCCTCCTTCTGGCTCTCTCCTCTTCATGGCTGTGGCAGACAAACTAACTTGATTAAAAGACTTCATTTGCTCTCCTGTTGATGAAGTTTTGGATGGAAACAAAAATTGTCTGGCATTATCTCCCCTGCTTCCATTCTCTGAATTATGTTCCCAACTACTAGTGTCAAAAATGGACCTATTGTTTGTCATGTCATTGGGGTGTCGTCCATGAGGAAACTCAGAAAGATGGGCGGGCCCAAGAAAGGTGGGGAGTTTACCAGGAACCAATATCTGAGGATTGATACCATGTGTGTGGGAATCTGTGGTGTACGATAAAATACTAGAAGAGTGCATGGTGGAGGACAGGGGGTTAGTAGGACCAAAGCAGAATGGATTACTGTAAGGATAACTATGAGAAGGAAGTGTATGTGCTGTGTATGGTAGGTTGGCATGGAAAGGAACTACCCTCTGCATTTGTTCAGCAGGCTGAAGCAAATTCGGAGCAGCCAACAGGAATGGTGGGGCACCACCATAGCCAAAACCCTGCATAGAATTCAAATCTGCCCAATATGTAGGTCTCACACAATTAAGGTCTCCATGTCTAGAGTTTCCCATGAATGTAGTAGCAGCAGGAGCTTCTAATAGCTTGTTGCCCAAAGGTTGACGACCTTGACCGGGCAAGTGACTATCATTACATGTGTCGGATGGGTTGTCATTCAAGTCAAAATCCACCTTCAAGTGCCTTGTTGACATTACTGTCGAGGAAGATGGTGCAAAGTCATCACCATTTTCACCAAGGCAATTGAGGTCAATACTGTGTTTTTCAGGCCATTTGGAACTGATTTCTGCAGGAGAGTCTTTAAAAGGGAAAGCTGAAAGTGCTGCCACACTTTCCTGTGTCAATTCTATGGAAATATCATCTTCTGCAGCAGTAACATTGAGGTCAAATCCAGCAAAACATTGTGAATGTTTTGAACCGCAATTGTTATTAGTGGAAGATACTGTACTGGAACCCTTGAAAAGAGAAGCAGGCCGAAAAGCACTAGTTGCTGAAGAACCCTTCCAACCTAACTCACCTTCAAACTTCAATGGGGTCATGTGTAAGCATGAAGGAACACCACATTTAGCCACCACATGTATCACATTATAAGAAGATGCAGTTTCATGCCTCAATTGGTTAGGATGATCCACTTCATTTGCGTGGATATCTTCATTCAAATCAAATCGACTGAGAAAGGCAGTCTGACCATAAGCAGCAACATCATCAGGTTTCACAGTAAAGGAAGATGGCCCCTGTCCATGAGGGCCACAACTAGATACATGAATCATAGAGATACTCATCTCTTCTGATTGCCCTTTCACAACCAAGAGAGGTTTATGTTTATTTTCAGTTCCAGGATCTACCACTTCCTCAGGGGAACAAAAACTATCTTCCTCATTGCATAATTTGAGAACTTGTCCACTTTGAGTTAAGCGTGTGTTTTTATCTGGATCTGCAGCGTCAACTGAACTTAGATGGACTGAGTTTCCATTTCTCTCCTCTATCGAAGAGGTGCTTCCTGAGGCCTTCCTATAAACACTACCCTTTTGCTCAACTCCTTTAGCACCTTTGCAGAACACCCCCAGTGCATCATCTTGCTGATAGGAATGCGCCTGTCGTTGTTGACTTGAAATTTCTGCATCTTTCTGGTTCACCAGACTGGGTTTAGGGACATCAACCTTCTCTACAATCAAGGAGTTTTGATCTCCAATCATTTCCAGCACCTTCTTACTATCCCTGGCTCTAATGTTCTCAACAGATTTTTGAGTGATTTGTGCAGCCATACCCAGCACTACACTTCCAGTTGCTGGCTCAGTCACGCTACTGTTGAAACTAGTAGAGACATTTGCTGATTGAGAAGACGAATACTCAATTCTGACTTCTTCATGGAAGGTGGCATGCATTATGGATTTTATATCGTCTTTACTAGCATTTAACCAATTTCCAAGTGCTCTCTTAGCATACAATTCATTACTTTCTCCATTAAGGGAAGGTCCAGTCTCTAAGCTGATGTCGCTCTTCAAAGAAATGTGCTGTGTGGAATCAATTCCTTCCATAGATTGTGTACAAGATTCTCCATCATTTGACTTCCTATCACACAGAACAGTCGGAGATATGAGTTCTTTGCTTAAAGATATTGCCCCCGAGGTACCTTCTGTAAATTTCTTCTTGTCATACATTCCCAATTCAGCCGTTAAATTTCTTGACATTGAAACAGAGGATTGTGGTTTGGAACTCTCTGCACTGTATCCTTTCACACAATCAGTGGCGGAAATATCATCATAATTTGGACACTTCTCCTTCTCTGGCAATGATTCAGTATCACTGCTGTTAAGTTCCTGGTCAGACACACTTCCTTGCTTTTCCAACATTCTGTTTTCATAAGCAATTGTTTTCCAACTGTTGGATAATCTGTTTTCCTTCCCCGAAGCATGTAAGTGTTTGGCATCATTTGGTATTTCACATGCTTTTGACTCAAGCTGATCCATGGGCAGATTATTGAGTATGTTTCCAATGAATGCCTCTGAAGCAAAGACTTAACAACAACCAATTTTAACATAGGTACTGACAGCTAAACATTTTGATCCCATTGACTAAACAGCCACAGGGGTCCAACACACCAATATATACAACTCACTCAAGCAACCATGCAGCCCACCTTGTCATGGAAATGATCAATAGTGCCAATCAACAGAACACTATCTTTCAATAAAATGACTCTCACCGAACAAAAGAAACCTTCTTCATAAATGTAGTAATGTCCAACAATAAGAGCCCGCAACATGATGCCATTATTTTTCATATACTATAGTTCAGTGAGTTCATGAGCTTAATTCCTGCAAAATTAACATCCATTAGATGTCAACATATGTTTCTTATAGAAACACCACACAAATTAAACCCCAGATGACCCTCTATTTTAAATTTGCTACCCCTAACCAGATCAAATCTAAAAAAAAAATTCTAAAGGAAAAAACTGGTATCAACTTCCAGTTCAAACCAGAGCACAAATTTGACCATTTTACTTTTATCTTTATTCTTGTCCAAATAAGCAAGTATTAGCATTTTATTCAATGATAAAATTCTATGAATCTGTTGTCTGCAAATGGTGCTGATAAATAAAGTAGGGTGACGAGAAAAGCAAAGAACCACAAATGCTAAGATATTTTATTAGCAGTCAACTACTTGCCACTTATTGCACCATAACCTTGGCTCTTTGGATGCTGTAGGTTATAGAAGTGGCTTGGAGGGTTGAATAGCTTCAAATAATTCTTAACTAGCTTCTAGTTATGCTTAATTGCTGACTGACATCATAGAAATGCAACTTACACCTTTCTATTGATGAGTTGTTTCAACAAAAAGGCATACATCTCGACTCGCAACTTGTCAAACATAATTATTAGGATTCAACTAGGCATTAAATGTTGAACACACAGGAAATCTAAAAAAGCATACTGTGTAAAACAATGAAGAATGTCATAAATTACAACAAGTTCCCTGAAAAAGAACTATAACATCCACTTAATCACCCACATTTTTCTCCAAAAGTTTAAGGTGTAATCTTGTCACAGGGTGGACAACTGCTGCCATACCAGCAATAAAAAATTATCAAAGAAGAACATTCTTGAACATCATTCATTTCACAAGTTTTTTACTAATTTTTTCAATGTAAGAACTATATCATGTGAAAGAGTAGCAAGCAACGATAGCCAAACAAGAGTAGCAGCAATAGCCAAACAAGGGTAGCAAGCAAGTAGGTTCCATCTGTAGTAGTTCAGTTTAGTTATGTTTAGCACAGAAAAAGAATGATTGGCTACATCATAAATGAACAAAACCAAATATAGTGTATCAGTTTTAACACCATATGCTCTATGCGCAGGAAAAATCTTCAGATGAAACACAATTCAAAATTTTCCTTTCAATCAACAACAAACATAACAAAGACAGGAGGACACTAAAAAATGATTAACAAAAAAGTGAAGCAAAAATTTCATTGAAATTCCTCATTGCTGAGAAGCAAGCAGCTTCTGTGGCAACAAAATGCCTCTCTACATGCAGTAAGATTTTTCAATTGTACATTATTCAGAGAAATTTTTCAAGATAAACAAAATGGTAGCCAAAGATAAGCAATATGCAAAATTTGCAATCAAATGAGTTTGATTTAGATAGTGTTGGGTCAAAGAAAGAACAATTCAACCATCACACACAATTTCTTGGGCAATCAAACAGTACAGAATTGGGAGTACCCTAAAATAGATCTATAAGAAAAGGACAAAAAGTCAATCCATATATGAATAAAAACCCCAAAATGTCCACTCAGAATGAAATTTAGAGGAGTTCAAGGATCTAATCTAAACCTTTTCAATAATATATTCTCAATACGATGCATAGCACCACAAATTCAGAACCGCACCAAACCCCAAATGCACTCGCAATGTAAATTCTATGAAGAATTAAGAAACCCTAACAACCCAAGCAGAAATGTGGTAACACAAGCTCAGAAATGGTGGTTCTGGAGGCTTATGTTCAGACTTATCATCAAAACCAAAACCCCAATCACCATAAGAGTAACAAACAGAGAAGCTCAAACGAATCCACAGACAGTAAACCCAGACGAGAAGGCGGTAAAACAAGCACAGAGATGTTGGTTTTGGAAGCTCTTAGCTTCAGATTCATAAACAGAACATCAAACCAGCTCACTAAAACAGTTAGAAACACACGGATATAGCAAATGAAAAATTATGAGATTCACAGAAAAAAACGAACCTTTTATGGTTCAGAATGTAATAATCTTGAGCAACTCCGTAGGATTACTAATCTCACCGCAAACCCATATGAGCGGCTGAGCAAGAACCCAAAAAGACCACCGCAAGAGAGAGCTCTGAATCTCTCTCTCTCTCTGTGCAGTGTAAGTTTTGTTTTCTAGCTACACCGCAAAAGTTTCTCACCCATTCCTCACAGAGAATCCTCAGCATACATATAATGTGGTCATATGTATGATCCTGTCCCCATCACCAAAGAAGGAAAGGAAGGGAGTTCTGTTTGTTTGGTAGGTTAGTTGGACTTCTGGTGTTGTAGAGAGAGAGAGAGAGAGAGAGAGAGAGAGGGACATGGAGAGGGACAGATGAGCTATTGTCACTAACGAGAGAGTGCGTCAGAGTCAGAGAGACAAGGATGTGTGGTGCAGTGGGACCCATTGGCGACTGCGCCCTCCTTCTCTGACGAAATGGTCCCACTCAACCCAACACCAATGCCCAGCTGTTGGGTTTCACTTCCATAACACAGCGTTGATAACAATTAAGTTATGGTTTAATTTAAATTTGAGCTCATTAAATTAGTATGAACAGATATTTTTCATTGACTATTAAATTTGAATTCAAATGCTTTTAATCGTACTTCATTAATTAATGTTTAGGTACGTTAGTGTTTTGTTTGATTATAACTTGATCAAATTTAAACATTAATGTATAAATATATGATAAAAGCTCGGGAATATTTAGGAATTAGATGTAACTCATACTTAAAAACACGATACAACATAAATAAAAAGTGATAAATTTTTGAGAGAAATTTCATAGGAATAGTTTTGAGAAGAATATTGGTGAAACTCGTTTTATTTTAAAGGAAAATTTTCATCTAGCTCCCTTTAGTTCTAAATTCAATGACACCCCTCATTGATTCTGAAACTTCACTACACTTTCTTTTGTTTTATACTTTTAAATCAAAGACACCTCATTAACAGTAACTTTTAACAATTTGATTATATATTTTTATAAAAATGTCAAAACTACCATTTGTTATATAAATAGATTAAAATGCCCTCAACATTTTTTTCATTACATATAGGAAAATTTTCATCTACAACCTTGTAGTTAAGTTTAAATTCAATGACACCCTTTTCTGATTCTAAAACTTCAGTGCATACCTTTCTAATTATATTTCAAATCAATGACACCCCTTAATGGTAACGTTTGCCTCTGTCAATAAATAAATTAATGATTTAACTAAATATTTTGTAAAAATGTCAAAATTACAATTTTTTATACAAATGGACTAAAATGCCTACAATGTTTTTCCCATTATATATGTCATAGCCAACCAATAAGTGTCATTTCTATAATTATATTATCCCAATGAATTTTTATCATTTTAAAGTGGTGCATGATAACTTTGTTATAACATTAGTCATCATATTATCACTCATTTTGTTACATAATCAAATTTTTATAATTTTTACAGTTAAAAATAATTTTTTATAATAAAAAGGACAACCGATAAAATCAATGTCAAAATCCCATCCATTTCTAACTCATCTATTATCGTTTGTCCTCCACAACGTCACCTAACTACTATTCACACGTTACCCTTCATATATAAAATTTAAAAGTTATTTGATAAAATTTAATATTAATTGAATAAATTTAATCTTGATTTGATAAATTTAAATACTAATTTTGTATTAATTTGATAAAATTAAATATTAATTCAGTCTTGATTTGATAAAACTTAATGTTAACTGAATAAATTTAAATATTACTTTAATAAAATTGAATGTTCATTTGGTGTTAAATTAAATTATTGACATTAATTTGATAAGATTAAATGTTAAATTAATTAAATTTAATATTCTATTTAATATATTAAATTTTAATTTAATAAAATTGAATGTCAATTTGGTGTTGATTTGATGAACATAAAGATTAATATAATAGAACTAAAAAAGGAATGTATTGAAATTTCAAAATTGGAAGGGGATATTGTTAAAAATAGGTCTATTCATAGGGGGTGTCGTTGAAGTTATGTTTTTTTACAAGGAATGTGGATAAAATTTATCCTATAAAATAGTCAAGGGCATTTTTGTAAATTGACAATTGTCGTAAACGTCATAACCCCCGATAAAACACTGACAAGGGATGACAGTGAAATTTCAGAATTGTGAACAGGTGTCATTGAATTTAGACTTAATAATAATTACAGGGGGTGTTGATGATATTTTTTCTATTTTATATTATACATAACCAGACTATGAAACTAGAAATCAAAATTGAAATGTAAATTTAGCTATAACTATAGTAGCCAAATTTTTTAATTAGATTTAGGATTTTCAACATATTTAGGCTTAGATTGAAAAAATAAACTCCTTTAAAGAATCTTATTAAAAATTTATTAAAGTTTTCAAGTTAGATTGTTTCGAGTGAAACAAAAAAAGATTGAAATTCATTACGACTCTAAACATTGACAGATCCCTTTATAAGCAACTTAAATATTCAATTTTTTATAATCTCAACTGATATATAATAAGACTATGCTATCGAAAGACTACCATATTTAAAGTTACAATTAAATAGTGAGTTATTATAATTTATTTGGAGTTATATTACAACTAAAATATGTCAGTTACAATTTAAAATGGGTCAAGTTAGATTTATTTGTGATCATGTGATCCACCTTAACTTATTAATATCAAGGGTTAATTACATATTACACTCTGAAAAAATTGTTCGAATCTCAACGTGTACCCTTAAAGGTCAAAAATTTCAATTTGTATCATCAAAGAAAGAAATTTGTATCAATGCGCACCTGAAACTAATAGTTGTCAGTTTGCAATGTAAANGATCCCTTTATAAGCAACTTAAATATTAAATTTTTTATAATCTCAACTGATATATAATAAGACTATGATATCGAAAGAGTACCATAGTAAAAGTTACAATTAAATAGTGAGTTATTATAATTTATTTGGAGTTATATTACAATTAAAATATGTCAGTTACAATTTAAAATGGGTCAAGTTAGATTTATTTGGGATCATGTGATCCACCTTAACTTATTAATATCAAGGGTTAATTACATATTACACTCTGAAAAAATTGTTCGAATCTCAACGTGTACTCTTAAAGATCAAAAATCTCAATTTGTATCATCAAAAAAAGAAATTTGTATCAATGCGCACCTGAAACTAATAGTTGTCAGTTTGCAATGTAAAACTAAATGGATAAATTATACCTAAACCCCCTTATACTTGTCATTTAATTACCTAGATATCTCACATTTAAAATATTACACCTACATCATTTGAGAATCCAAATATGACTAAAAATATTCCCTTAATTAGGCATCTAAATAATTCTTTTCAAATAATGTATTGCATTGGATATAAAGAACATTATGTATAAATACTTATATTATGTTGGACATTCCGATGGTAAGCTTGATTTTGAACTTTAGAGTATAAAAGACCCATAAAATAAAATGTAGTATAAAAATTATAATTTTTTTTAGGATGAAATCAAGTTTTTTAATGATTATATTAACAGATATCAATGACAAAGAGTTAATCAGATATCAATCACAAATAGTTAATCAGATATCAATGACAAAGAGTTATGTGTTGTATATGCATAAATGTCAAAAAGTGTACAAGTAATATTCGAAATACTCTAAATGATTAAGTAACAACTTGACGGGTATAGGTGTAAGTTATCCAACTAATTTTAGACAGCAAACTAACGGTTATTAGTTTTAGGTGCGTATTGATACAAATTTATATATTTGAGGATGAAAAATAAATTTTTTTATATTTGAGGGTACAAATTAAAATTCGAACAATCTTTCAAAGTATAATTTATGATTAATCCTAATATCAATCCTCAAAACCTCATTTTGTCGTGGTATCGCTAATTTAGATTATAGTAATATTACTTTTAGTATAATATTAAAATAAATAATTTTACAATATCATAATATTATGACACGAGCGTCTTGAGTTTGGGGACACATGTCGTTGAAGAAGTGGGCTCTCTAATTAGGGCGAGAGTACATTGTCAAAGAAGATTATTTTGTTTGTCCACTTAAAACTAAATTGATAAAATTATGACAAAAAAGTTAAAGTTAATAATAAAATATTAAAATCGGTCTTAGAATCTTAACATCGATTTTAAATAGTTTTATCTTGGTATAACTTCATTAAATTAATTTATAATTTTATTTTTTTATTTTATAGTAAATTTGATTCGATAAAAAAAATTAAATATCATATACGACATAATATAATAGAAAGATTTGAAATATAAAATATAATAAACGAATGACTAATTTTATAATAATTAATTTATTTTTAATTAAAATGAATTTATCTAATTATATTTAATATTTTAGTTATAATAAATTAATTTTTTAATTATTTTCTTATAGTTAATAACAATGCTAAAAAACATATTTTTTGTGCTCTACAAGTGTATCCGTTGTTGTTCTATAAAGAAACTATTTTATTATTATAGATAACAATGGTAGTTTATCAAAATTTTGAATCCAAAAAGATACCGCAAAGGGTGAGACTTACTTTATATAATTTATATATGTTCGATGTGTTGGATCAAAATAATTTTTTAAGTATAAAAGTTAAATTTTTGGTCTATTTTGAGTGTAAATTCAAATAGGACACATTTATTATTTTGAATAAATTTTTGTGGGTTCATATTCTATTCCGTGAGGAGAATAACGTGATATATTCACTTGCCCAAATCGAATAAGAAATGAATAAGAAAATAAGCTTCAAAGTTACCATCTTTAATTGTGAAAATAAAAGTACTGTAATGTGAGATTTGACACCAATCCTATATTGGTTGAGAAAGAAATTCAACATGGACATATATAGACCAAATTTGCTCTATGATATTGGGGTCCCAAAGGGTACCATAGTTTTATCAGCGGAGCGAGTGCCTATACAACCTGGCTAGGCTCGGGTGTGGGTTGGACCAAGCCGTATATTTTTTGAGAAAATTCGCGTAATTAATTGGGCGAGAATTTCTTAACCCAAATTTTATTTTCAGTATCCATTGGATCGCACTGGGTCGGATATTTGCTTCCTTCTAGTCTGAAAATTTAGACTGTGTCTATTCATACAAAAC